TAGCTTTAGCATCTTTAGCATTTTAAATATAACTTTGCAAACTTAGACAACTGCTGTKCTACTATTAGCCATATTGCTATATTTAGCCTTTAGCTCCAATTCAGTTATTTTTAACTTGTAGTTACTTTAAGCTGATTAATTTACCTTTTAGCTGCAGTTGCTTCTTATAGCTTCTGTTCATTGTGCTAGTCTGCTACTTTCAGCTTTTGTCTAGATTTTCCTACTTTTATCTACTGGTTTTCTACTTTTAGCTTTTACTTAGCTTTTTTAAAATTGATTTTACCTCAAACKTTTCTCCTTGTAGTGTCGTGTGAGTTTTATCCTTTGCAACTCAGTTCTAGCTGATTAAAATAATTTACATAAATTTAAATTTAAATAGATACTCAGTATATTCTGTGATTTCCGTAGGTGTCGATGACATCAACCCACAGTTTCTCTCAGTCACKTTCTAAATGTCCAACTCATAGGTGTCGATGTGAGGATGGGCCTCAGTTCTCTGTCGCCTGGTTCAGCTGAGCCTCGTCCCGCTCCAGCCGAAAGAGAGCAGAGGCCGTAGAAGAGCTCCTTCCTTGCAGGAGACTGATGTAAATCAAACTAATTACAGAGCCACTCTGGGTTTCGAAGCCATGGAGGGAAAATTAAACGATCAGAGTCAGGTCGCAGCTCAACAGAGARCGAGTTAATGAAAATATTAATTACCTGATGATTCAGTGGAACCCCCTCCCCAACCCCCCCGGTCCTCTGCCTCCCCCACCGCAGAGAGCGTTTGTTTTAATTGAGTCATAATAAGACTGCTACATTTGGCTGAGTCACTTGATTAGAGCGGGTAATTGACCAATAAAGGCACATGATTGGCAATTATAAAATCCAATGTAGCGCTAATTACTTAGCAACTCTTAAGTGTCGGGCTAACGCCGAGGACATTACGCTTCTCTGTGCAGATGGTTGTTTTAAAACTCGTAAAGCAGAGCGAGTTAATCCACGCGACACACACATCGTAAACTCTGTCACACGCATCATAAAGTCTGTCACACACACACACATCCCACCAACATCACGGTGGAATGTGCAGCTAATATCAGGTTTTTGGTCTCGGGATCGATTTCYTCTGTGTTTTCATTCTGAATTATTCAGAGCTACACTTTATCTCCTCCCCCCTGCCATGCAGTGTGTCACAGTGGTCAATAAGTGGGTGAGATCTGGATCCTGACTGTGTGAGGCCGGGTTACATGTGGGGGGTGGTAACCCACATATAGAGGAGATTGCTTTGCAGTCAATCACAGTAATTAGGAGGCATCAACAGCAGCCTGGTCCGCTGAGGTTTGACACAAAATAAGTGTTGAAGTTCAGGTTATTTTTACAAACGGCTTCTTTTCCTCCTCGGTGAATAAATGAGACGAAGATTCTGGATTAAACGTCCTCTAAAGTATGAAATGTGACRTCAGCAGAATACGACTTTTGTTGTCTTTTGTTTGAACAAGCAGGTAAATTAAAGTTTTTTCTGTTCGAAGGCTGACAGCTTCTTAACGAAGCTACTTCTGTAAAAATCTTGAGTCGTTCCTGGTTTGTTTTACTTTGTTTCCAAAGAGCCAAACTTTTTTTCTTTTAATGTGATCGTTATCAATATTTCTGCAGGCTTTCTGGAGGACTTTCAGTTGTTTGTTGTTACAGCAGCCTGTTGAATCTGTGAAACATGGAAATATTACTTAATGTGTTGATGAAACGTCTTTCAGGTCCTTCTATTTCTTTTAAGCATATGTTTTAGGATTTTTTCAGAAAACACAAGCTGCTTTTTTTAATTATATTTTTCTTTATTGCGGATGGTTTCCATTGAAATTGTGAAATTAGAAAATTAGTAG